ACACACAGACAACCCTGTGACAATATGCGTTTTGTAACGCTGTTACACAGCACAAAACGCATAATAATAAGCAAACACACCACACACACTGATGGACGCATCGCAAAAAAGGCATAATCTTATCGTACCGACTATGTTGCGCTCTGCCAGTACACTTTTTGTTCTGATCTTTTATCCTTTTGAGAATTTGGTCCTGGAAGTCAGGAGAATGGTAAAACAAATATGATGCAAACGGTGTAAATGATGCAAACGTTGAAAAAAGATTCTATAAGCTGTATAAGCCTAACTGACTGGCTGCACAGTGAAAGTCAGTTTGGTTAGCTCACAGTATTCTTTATTCCATTGCGGGTTCGGCACAAAGTTCATCAGAATGCTTCGGATATGAAGTTTTCCAGCATTTTATTCGATAGTTCATGTAGCTTGCAGTTTTCCACACAGGCACAGAGCAACACTGATTGGAAGCTCTGCCTTCTTTCTGAAGAGACATACATGCACCTCTTTTTAATTCAAAAGACGCTATTTTTTGCAGTTATCTCGGAGGTTGTCGCCGCCGGAATCATTGAATGCATCACTGCTTGGTGGGATATTGCGCAGGTTTGTGTGAATAAACTTCAGTTCCATCGCCTTTTTTTTTGTTTTGTATGTCGACAAAGCGCTATGGTTCTGCACGTAGGTACGTTTTAATTTAGCCAGACGGAGAATTGTGTCGTGTACTACAGCTCAGCAAAACTTAGCGCGATGTTTGGTCCCATAGGTTTGACTTCGCCTTTGAGAACATGGCAGTACAGTCGCAATAGGAAATACAGTACTCCAAATTTTAACCTTCACTAGGCGGCGTATTATCACTCGTCGATTATACCAGCGAACCATCGTAACAGGGTAAAAGAAATGCATGTTGTTTCGAATTCATATATACTGAAGAGTCCACAACAGCTTCTCATAGAAACTCATAATTGCGTCAACCTCCCAGTGCGCAGCATTGCTTATTCTGATTGAATTAGATAAACATATGTTCAGGGCAAAATCGAAAAACGGTGGAAAGACGTTGCGCAGTGAACTCGCACGTATTGGTCTGAAGTTGCCAGCAGGAAGACGAAAGTCAACAAATGTGACTTTACTGACTTCACTTGTTGAAGGTTTGCTTGATTTATGAATTCTAAACTGACTCGTATTGTCAGTGTGCAGCAAGGATCATGGTCATGTTGAGCACTTTTCCGTAGCCGTTTTTATAATGAAAAGTGAATGCAAAAAGGGACTTGAAAGTGGATTTTAGAAGAAGCGCAACATCTTGCCAAGGATTTCGCAAGCGCTTGTTTGGCTGAGTTCCCGGCAAAGTCAATTGCATGGCGCAATTTGAGGAAGTACGACAGCATGTCCATTATTGAATTGGAAAGGCAGAAGGAAAAATTCCGGGCCACAAAGTTTGTTCTTTATTGTCGCTTCGGCACTGTACATTGTCGCCTTGATCAAAACCAGTTTTGCTTTCGTTTAGGCAATTGCTGTCGAATTTCATGGATATACTGCAGCAGAGCACAAATGTCTTGTTTTCGGATGCGCAAGACAGCGATCTGCAGAACTCGATGGAGCGGTTCTCACTTATAACTCATACGTTCGGCACACCAGCTGTTTTAGCAGGTAAGT